GCACATTTGTACATTTGTTGCCATCATCATTCTCAAAACATTTGCCTTCTACTTGAGCCCTTAATATCAGCTCCTCTTTTTACCCCCTTCCCCCCACGAACCCTTCATAATACATAAATTATTATTATTTTGTCATATCTTACACTGTCCGATGTCTCCCCTTGCCCACTTCTCTGTTCTCCATCACAGAGGAAGGAGGTTATACGTAGATTCTTGTAATCGGTTCCCCCTTTCCACCCCACATACCCTCCACCCTCCAGGCATTACCACTCTGACCACTGGTCCTGAAGGGGTCATCCGCCCTGGATTCCCTGTGTTTCCAGTTGCTATCTGTACCAGTGTACACCCTCTGGTCTAGCCAGATTTGTAAGGTAGAATTGGGATCATGATAATGGTGGGAAGAAGCATTTAAGAACTAGAGGAAAGTTATATGTTCTATCGTTGCTACCCTGCACCCTGACTGGCTCATCTCTTCCCCACAACCCTTCAGTAAGGGAGTCTCCCCTCTGCACTCACCCTCGTTTACAATGATATGATTTTTGTTCTTTGATGCCTGATACCTGATCCCTTCGACACCTTGTGGTCACACAGGCTGGTGTGCTTCTTCCAGAGGCTGTAACTTTTTATGGGAATAGAAAACCTTATCTTTCACCCTCGAAGTAGCTGGGGGTTTTGAACTGCTGACCTTAAGAAACCAATTACGCCACCAGGGCTCCCCCAACTTTGTGCTGTAGCAGGGATTCATATGCCCGCTTTGTCCAAGTGGAGAGCAGAAGCTCAGGAAGGTGTAGTGACTTGCCCTGGATTAAAATTCGGTTCGTATATATTCTATTCTGGTGCTCATTTCAGTGATGATAACGTTCATATGTAATTTTAAAATTGATCCAGAAACAGACTTCTTGCCTTGATTGAAAAGCCATCATTGGATCCAATCTACATTGGGTTATTTGGAAGCACTGGGGCTGGAAAGAGTTCCCTAATCAATGCCGTCATCCAGCAAGCCATGTTTCTACCAGTGTCAGGAGACAGGATATGCACCTCTTGTATCGTGCAAGTGAGCTCAGGCTGCTGTGACCAGTATGAGGCCAAAGTGCACCTTCTCTCTGATCAGGTAACTATTTCCTGCCTCCTTTTCTACCCTCTGTCCTTACTCTCTCGGGCATTAGCATCATAATCTTTTCAAATGTCTTTATTGAATAGAAAGAATGAAGCACAGAATGAGAAAGATCAATGGACATGAGAGGGGAGTCTGGCCCAGCTCCTGTCACAGCTGGTTATGGGGATTTGGGCTCACTAGTTTGCTCTTTGGTCCATGTTTCCTCATTGCACAACAAGGGATCTGGAAAACCGGCTCTCCTGGGGATCTCCTGGGAGTTGCACAGTCTCAGACTAGGCAGCAGGCAAGCTTCCCTCCACAGACTGCTGGAACTGTGAGCCACTCAAAGGATGCAGAGATAAGAGGACCACAGGGGTACTTGCTGGGTCAGGGGACTGGAAAAATAGAAATGGTCCTCTTGAAGCCATGGCTGCCTTCCTTTGTCATTGCCTTCTCTGTGTGTGTTCTTGATGGACTTGGCTCTGCTCTGCCTTGGTAGGAGTGGAAGGAGGAACTGAAGAACTTGACTAAACTCCTGCATGGGACGGAGGAGTTGGGCAGAGAAGCGGAGGAATGGCTTAGGGATGATGCCGTAGACGAAGCCATCTGGAAGCTGCAGATGCTCTACGGCCGGGGAGCCGAGAACAAGACCTATGAGGAATTACTCAAGGCCAAACTCAAAGCAAAGATCCCCACCTCCAGAATCATCACCCTCAAGGCAGAGGAGGTACGCTCCAGGTTATTGTATCATGTGTCTCAGTAGAACCATGAATCCATGGAGGGGATGTGCTCCAGGTGCAATATGGTGTTTTTACTGGAAATAAGTTGATGTCAGCATTGAAAGTCACAGCACCCAATTGATCTTTTGTTATTCATGGCTTTCGAATGGAAATTTTTTTCCTCTGGAAAGGAATTTGGGGTGGGGAGATTTACAGTTATTTGAGGATTAATTAGGAATGCTGTTGGCTGCAAAGGATTAAAAAATAACCAACTTTAAATGGCTTAGGCCATTAAGGGTTTGCATTTTCCTCCTGTATCAAGTCTGGACATCCTTGGGTACCTGGGTGGATTCAGTGGCTCCACAATGCACAGACCGACGTCTCTGGTTCTCTGGCCTTCCATTGTACTGCTCACCCCTCAGTCATAGATGGCTACCCAAGGGCTAGCGCTATAGGAGGACGGCAGGGATACGAAGTGGTACCAATCTGACCTCCTCTTGCATTGAGAAGAAAAGCTTTCCTGAAAAATACCCCCAGCAAACTACAGTGTAGACCTGATTGTTAGAACAGTCACATGGCCACTCCGAGCTCGAGTCCAGAAAATCAAGAGACAAGTTTGTTGTGATCTGCTTAGATGATAGAACCGCAAACTTATTTGATCTACCTCCTCCTTTTCAGAAAAAAAAAAAAGTTACTTAGCACTCCCCCTGACAATTCAAAGCGTTTGTGCTATAGCCCACCACCCAGGATAAAGTGCAGTTATCTGCTTCTGCTGCATCCCAGTGCTCCCTGCAGGGGTGGAAGCACCCCCTCTGGGAAACGCTGGCTTAGACCAATAGCAAAAACCTCACTGTCAGGGAGGTGTTTCTGACACTATGGGACAGAGGAGAATTGCCCCGGTGGGTTTCTGAGACTGCCACTCCTTGTGGGAGTAGAAAGCCATCTTCTCCTGCAGAGCCGTTGGTGGGTTCCAACTGTGGACCGAGCGGTTAGCAGCCCTAGGGGTGACCCCGTTTGCCACCATGGCTCCTTATCAAGAATCCACAGCCTCCCAAAGCAAGCGCACAAAATCAAGACTCTGGTGGCGTGGAAGAAGAGCAGAAGGGATACTGGATAGGCACTAGGGGAGCAATCCTTTCCTTACACTTACAACTGAAATTAAAATTCAGTTTTTTTCCAAGTAAAACAAACTACTTGTATCCCTAACATTCAATTTATTAAAGTTGCATCTTTAAAAGTTTAAATGTTCCTAATAACTTAAAATTTACCTTTATTGCTTTCTATGTATAAATCTGGCAGTTTTTACAGAAAAGAAGAAAAATGATTTCTGCTCATTCTAAAATTTCATGTTAAATTATCTCCTGAGCTTAGCATTACAAATTCTCCTTTAGTATTTAATATTATTTACATACAGTGAACCCTCGTTTATCGCGGTTAATCGGTTCTAGACCCTACCGTGATAAATGAAATTCCGCGAAGTAGGATTCCTTATATCCAAAAGTTTTACCTTTTCCTGGATGGTGAGCATCTTCCTCTGGCGCTTATTTTTATTGTCAGAAGGCTTAGAAGAAGCAGCTCGTTTAGGAGCCATCATAGGGCTTAGATAAAATTTCTTAAAAATTGCAAACAATTACAGTACACTGTACAAAAGCAAAAATGCATCTGATATGTAGCTCTGATACGTAGCGATGCAGACAGAAGCGTGTACAGTATGAGCCAATCAGTGGCAGTAATGACAGAGCATGCGCTGTTACGCAAAAACTGCGATAGAGTGAAGCCGCGGAAGTCGAAGCGCGAAGTGGTGAGGGTTCACTGTACTTAATCACAATTTCTTGCACTTTTTATATTATAGATTAAATTTAATATATCTGGTCTTCTCAATATATTTAAAATGCACGAGTGCTCTTAGGAACCAAATGAAGGAAATCTTTCAAAGCACATAACTATTTCTTGCATATACAGTAAGTCAAACAAATGAAATAACAAAATCTTCTATTTAAATAGACATTACTATTAAAGTGATTATATTCCAAAATATAGACCAAATACATCCAAATAAACATGATAATTACTGAACTGAAAATACAAAAAGATATACAATGGTATTATTATAATATTTATTTCTGTACCATCTCTTTAGTTAGAAATAGCCCTTCCCAGAGCTAGAAAATTTACCTATTCAAACAGGAAGAACAGAATTCACAAGTTCAGGGTTTGGGTCAGATGTTCCAGACGAGGCCTGGGAACATATCCGCTGAGCCCACTTTATTGGGTGCCTCCTCTTTCTGAGAGAGAGGAGTTTTCATGCCCATGCTTTTCCCTTCACATGGCCCATATCATACCCACTTTATTATTTTTAATTGAAATATAATAAAGGAATTTGATCATCCCCTCGTTGACAATCGCCTGTTACTTGATTAGAATGGACGAAATGTGTTACTCCCACCCAAACTGTAATGCCTCTCCAAATTACTCTCTGATCTGTCTTTCAAGCCCACTCTGTAGGTACTTGCTGACATCGATCACCCTACAGTTCAAATCTTCTGTCTACTGAGCCACCTCAGTTGAGATTAACTCCCCCAATCACGGCACAGGCCTGTCATTGACTCAGGGATGTTTAGTCAGGAGCAATGGCACTGAGAACTATCCCTGTTGTCCCACTTAAGAAAAAGAAAAACCAACCTCACTACATCGAGTTGATCCTGTGACTCAAAGTGGCCCTGCAGGACAAGGTAGAACTGCTTCTGCGAGTTTCCTAGACTCTCACTCTTTATGGGAGCACAAAGCCCCATCTTTCTCTCAAGGAGCTGCTGGTGGTTTTGAACTGCCAACCTTCTGGATCACGGGCTAACTTGAAACCATGACACCACCAGGGCTCCTGTTGTATTGCTTACCACTGTGGCTATCTCCTGGAAATGCCTTCATGTCAAGACGTGTTTTTGTACTTAAATCCTTTTTCATTTCCATTTTCAATTTGGGCAATAGGAGTTTCTATAGTCTGGTCATTACTGTCTTTCTGGTCATTAAAATGTTCGCATAAAACATGGGAGAAGAACTATGTGCAATTTAGAAAGATGAAGATTGATTACATTAATTTTAGAGCTGACATAGACATTTGAAACAGAAGATCCCGTAGGCAGGGGTGCTTTAAAATTTTTGTGGAAAAATAATAGAATGGAAAGAAAATGAGATTTTTCTACAAGCTTTTTGGAAACCCCCTCATATAACTTTGTGAAGTTCCAGTCAATCGACTTTGGTTTCTTTTGAACTTCCTCTCCCCCAGCACTTTTCTAGCTCTCAGTCTAGGCCCCTAAAGATCGGATTTCAGCCTCCCCATGTCTGTTGACCAAAACTGTGCGTGCCTTGGACAAGCTGGCGTCTCGCCAGCCAGTGGCAGGGCCCAGGATCCGTGAGAATGACGGCCATGGCTGGCTCTGTTCTTTTTCCTCAGGCGGAAGAGCTGTCTATCAAGCTGGACCCCTACATCCGAGCTCAGAGGAGAGATTGCCATGCCGATTCAGCAGGGACACCCATTTGGCCCTTGATCAAGCTTGTGGAAGTGACTCTTCCCAAATCCGAGCTGATTCCAGCAGGGGTCGTGCTGGTGGACATTCCAGGCACTGGTGACTTCAACAGCAAGAGGGATGAGATGTGGAAAAAGGTGATTCTCCCCCAGGGCTTCCTTCCCTCCTACCTCAACCCTCCCCCTGTCTAAAGCAATCAGGGATTCTTGGCTTTGGGGTGGAGAGACTGTCTGACTTCGTAGGAATTAAATTCTACTGTCTCTGTGCTAAGCCTCCAGGCCCTGGCTGGATATGGGTGGCCAGAGCAACTAGGGCCTGTGCAATCATGGGTAGTCTTGGCAGCTAAGAACAAGAGCACAGGAAGGGTCAGCAAGAGCGTGTAAGAGTCAGCAGGGTTAGCCAGGGCACAGGAGCCCTGGGAGGCCAGGAGTGAGGCACAGAGCAGAGAAGCTGGCTGCCAAGCACGCTAGGAACCAGGAGGCTGCTCCCATGTTTGACCGTAAGATTACCATGAAAGCAGCCGTTCTCTCATTCTCGCTGCTTGGTTTCCGCTTAATGAAAACTGGTTTACCAAACGATACCCCAGAGTCTCATGAGACCCAGCCGATCCTCAGGGCCCCCACCCAGGGTAGAAGCAGCTCTTCCTTCTCATTTTTGATGTATGGTCTTTATGACCCTATGTGATCTGTGCCACTCTGGTTGTCTTTGACCCTCATTTTGCAGGGTCTCACTTTTCCCTCGCGTGGCTGTTAGGACCCACGCTGTAGAAAATAACCCTGTCTCTAAGTGAGCTTGCAGTTCGCAGGCTTACACTGTACTGTCTCTAGTCTCTCTGCCTTTGAGTTTACATTCCTAAGAAGGAAAACCAGATTGACTGCCGCCCAGCTAACATAGTCACCCTCTCAGGATTAGGTCTCCATCCCCGGAGCAGTCAGCTGTGGCTGAAGGTGGGGATTTAGATGTAGGACCACCAGCTTAACCCAAGTCTCAGGTAGAGGTTCAGTTGTCAAGGGGTATCAACTGACCAGGCACCCCTGTAATGTGTCTGCCACCAGATAGTTCAACATTGAGGTAGTTGGATCTGTACCTAATAATAACTAGATATGGAAGTATTTTAAAGACTTTATCTTTTTTGTTCATTACTTTTTCATTCATCAAATACATATCATGCCTAAGATACTATACTAAACAAGGGGATGCAAAGATGATAGCTAACCATTAGAGCTGGGGTTTACTGAGCAGGTATTAGGTCCTGTTCTAAGTAAAGTAAATTGTCTTTATTACACTTAGTGAGTTGTGAATCTGGGATATGAACTCTGACAAGTTGTCTTGAAAGCCTAGACTCTTAATGCCTATCAAACTCTACATGGTAAAACAGCAATAAATGAAAAATAAATGAAAGGTTACAGGGCCTGACCTCTTGTGTTAAGAAGCATATACATAGAATGCTTGTAAATGCATAACAAAGACAATATCTTGCCTCCGAGAAGGACTTGCATCCACTGCTAACAGCAATGTCTGGGTTCCTTACTACTTTTTACCACAGACACTTCTGTGGTTTTTGTGCACAAGCATGTATTGATTTGTAATTATAATAGAAACAATGTTGAATGACAAATAGAGCTTCCCCCAAAGGGGCTAGAAGTCTAATAAGCGAAACAAAACAATCTAACTGCCATCGAATCGATGCTGACTCCTAATAACTTTGTAGGACGGGATGGATCTGACCCTGTGACTTTCCAAGACTGGAACTCCTATGGGGACAGACAACCCGTGTATCTCCTAAAGAGGGGCTGGTGGTTTAGAGCGGCCAAACTTGCCATCAGCAGCCCGACTCACAATCACTACACCACCAGGGCTCCTTTGGAATCTAATAGGGGAGAGATATAATGTCAATGATTAAATTCATGTCAGAAAATGGTATGAGAGTGGTGCAAAGCGTTCTGCACATTCAAAAGTAGAAATTGCCTCCCAGGAGATCTCAGTCCCTCACAACAAAGAGCCATTGAGCATCGGCGCAACTTTGTACCAGGTTCTGGGTGAACCAAGACAGTGTCCTTGCCCGTAAGTCTCATGGTTCAAAAAGAGTCCAGCGCACATGAACACACTACATTTCAATGTGATAAAAATGTGCGTGGGGAGGGATTGATTCTTCTTGGGGGCAGGTGGGGCTTAAGAAGGATATTTAAGCTCAGTCTCCACAAGGCAAAGAATGGGGTTGGGAATGGAACCCACCATAATTCCAGGCAGCAGGAAAGTGTAAGCAAAGGTGGGCCGCTGCTGTGAGAAAGGTGGCAGGTGGGGGGAAGGCTGAGTCCACCAGAGTGGCTGCAGGAGGAGGGACATGGGTTGTGCAGAGGGAAGAGGCGCAGAAAACCAGCCTGTAACGGTGGGGAACGTGCCAGACTTTGTCTTCCAGGAGAAGCCTGAGGGAGGGTGGGGCTGGGGCACGTGGCCAGAGAAAGAGAGGATATCATAGTCAAGGGGGGAGTAGGAGCCCAGGACTGAGAGGAAGTCACCACTAGTGAGTCTCCATCAGGACCAAACAATTCACTGCCATGAGGTGATTCCAAATCACAATAATCCTTGAGGAGAGGGTAGAACTGCCCCTGTGGGTTTTATGAGGCTGTTAAACCTTTATGGGAGTCGAAAGCCTCGTCTTTCTCCCAAGGAGCGCTTAGTGGCTTCAAACTCCTGACCTGGTGGTTAGCAGTCCCATGCATAACCATTATGCCAGGGCTCATGAATGGTATAGCAGCTGCCCCAGAGTTCAGTGCAGAATGACTCGTTCTCTGCTGTACGTAAACTCTCAATGCTGCAGGTTCTCCAAAATGAACAACTGAACTGGATAAGCTCGTGTATGTCCTTCCTCTACAGCAGGGCTGCTCAACCTTCTAATGCCGCGACCCTTTCACACAGGTCCTCAGGTGGTGGTGACCCCAACCATATAATTATTTTCGTTGCTACTTCATAACCGTCATTTTGCTACTGTTATGAATCGTAAATATCTGATATGCAGGATGTATTTTCACTGTTAAAAATTGAGCACAATTAAAGCATAGTGATTAATCACAAAAACAATATGTAATTATACATTGTGAAATACTTATTTCTTTCTAATTACAAATAAATGAAATTTTGTCTTGAAGCATGGTGTAGCATGCGTAATAATAGTCTTACTATAACAGCAGCAAACTACATTGCTACATTTTGCGACAGTATGTGTAAAAAGCCAACATCAAGGCGAAGGTTGAGATAGCTTCTGAGATAGCTTTTCTCACCAGATCAGCACACCTGCATGTGGGCGGACCCGCCTGGAGACGGATAGAGGAGTGGTGGCTCGATTCCTAAGACCATCAGAAAGATGTGTTTTCTGATGGTCTCAGGTGACCCCTGTGAAGGGTCGTTCGACCCCCAAAGGGGTCGTGCCCCACAGGTTGAGAACTGCTGCTCTACAGTGAGGACACAGAGGCTCAGAGAGGGAGTGAGTGGCAGAATTTGAATGAAGGATCAGTGTTTCCTCACTTCTCAGCTGGGCCTCTACCACTGTCCACTAGGATGCCCCCTTCATCCACTTTGTTTATAATGAAGCTTCTCCCTGATCATCCTGCTTAGACCCAGACAGGCCTGCCCTCGTTTCTGCAGGTTCTGTGCCTTTGAGAGTGGAATCGCCAAGTTTGGCTGGTTCCAGAAGAGGCCGAGGGAGAGGCAAGCTAGGGACACAGCCGGACTCTCACTGGATGGAGCCGTGATTGCAGTCAGTTTAGATACACTGGGCAGCTTATCAAAGGCCACTCGAAACAGGAGCCAGCAGATCTGGCTTGGATTGAGCGCTCTGAGGACGGGCTGAAGCAAAGGATGGTTCCCAGTGTGCTCTGCATTCTTGCGGTCTGCGATCGCCTCCACAAGAACTTGCTAAAGACTCCTCTTTCCAGGAAGAACAGCACAATCAGACATGCTCTGGCCCCTCTCCCTGTGCTTCAACTGCTACCAAGTCAGATGTCCCTGCTCTGCCCCTTAGAGGTAGTGTGACTTTAAGCAGTTCCCTGAATCTCCCCAAGGCCCATTCTCCTTCCGGGTAAGGATGAAGGTAGTAGGGTGTTCTCCCACCTACTCATCGGTGTAGTTCATAGGGTCCCAAACTTATTTGGTCAATAGTCCCCTTTTTAGGAAAAAATAACTCAGCACCCTGTGGACAATTAAAATATGTGTACTTTAGCTCATAATCTAGGATAAAGTATGCGCATCTACTTTTGCAGCACTGTCCCCTGCCCCACTGCCACCACCTGAATTGTTCCGGTGCTGCTAATTTGGAGGTATTGGCCACTTTGGGAAACACTGGTTGTGTTAGTCTGGGTAGAATAGAGAAACAAATTCATAGACACTCATGTGTGTAGGAAAGAGCTTTATATACGGAGTAATTTTGCATTAAGAAAACATTCCAGCCCAGTTCAGATCAAGTCCATAAGTCCAATATTAGTCCATAAATTCCTCAGCCATGCAATAATGCCGAATGTAGGAAGATCACAGGCTAGTGGGTGGAAAGTCTTGTGGATCTAGTGGCGGTAGAAGCATCTCAGCATTGGCATGGGTCTTCACGTGGCTCCTTCAGCTTCCAGGGCTTTGGCTGCATCAGTGTGTCTTGTCCGCAGGAATGTCTCACAGGGAGTGAGCCTTGTTAGTAGAGAGTCTCCAAGGGAGTGTGTGTGTGTGTGTGTGTCCCACCTCTAGTGAGCTATTTATCTCGTTAGCGCCTCCAAATGAGGTCATCAAGTGGCGACCTGATTGACAGGCTAAACTCCACCCCTTCACTCTTCAGTCTCAGATTGACAACAAATGATGTAACTACCACGCTGGTCTAGTTTTCAGTTTGTTCTCTTTTTCTAGACTTTTGGTCTTATCTGTGCCGCTACCTTCACTTTGAAGGTGATGAGGGGACCTCCATGGGAGGTGGCGGACAGAGGCCCAGCTGGGAAGTGAGGAAACCCGCTTTCTGATTCTTAATTGTGTCCTGTGCATTGTGGGGTGCTCAGCATCCACTCTATGCACTAGCAATTGCCAAGTTGTTACCACTGAAACGCCTCCAGATATTGCCAAATGTTCTGGGGAGTACAAAATCACCCCTTGTTGAGATAATAACGATTTTGACGATCGAGTCACCAGCATATCACACCTCCATATGCAAAGCAGTGTTCTGAAACCTCGCACGTGAACACCATCCCTGAATTGAATGTCCTGCTCGTTTACGTGGAGAGATGAGACAAGTGAAGCCAGACAGTCAGAGGGAAGTCTGTCTGTAACAGCTGCACGTTTGTAAAACACTAGCTTTGCTGTTCATAAGGTGCAGTTGAATGCTCATTGAGCCTGGCAGCTTGAGTCCTGTGGCTTATGGGGTCTGGCTGCAGGTGATGGCAGTGTGTTAAACATTCAGGGAAGGTCAACCAGCTAGTACCATGAGATGACTGCTTTGGCGATTGTACATGACCAAAACAGTCTGGAAAAAACGGTACTCTTACCTAGAGGAAATCTGAGGTGAAGCAAGTTAGTGGTGGGTCTGGGATTAGCAGTCTGAGTTCAATAATTGATAGACTTCTAACAATCATTGACACCGTGAATATCAACTTAGCTTCTAGTATGTGTCAAGCCCAGTGCTTTAGGTGATATCGATTCCAAGATACTGATTTCCTATCAAGTCCCTCCCAATCTGACGAGGCAGAGGATGGCCCTGGGTAGTAACTTTGTCTGAGACGTAGAGAGAGTATACTTAATCACAAGGTCAGCTATAACACCAGCCGCTCTGTGGGAGAAAGACAAGACTTTCTACTCCCGTAAAGAGTTACAGTCTGAGAAACTCACAGAGGCAGTTCTACCCTGCCCGGTAGGGTCTCTGGATTGGAATCCACTTCCATGGCAGTGAGTTTACGGTCAGAGGGGAATGGGCAGCCCATTCTTGGACTGTTCTTACATGGTTCTTACAGGCAAGTACAGGTTCAGCAGAGGCTGAGGCAAGTACAGAGGCTCTGAGGGATGAAAGAGCGTGGTGCATCTCAGGAACTGGAAGTCGCTCAGTTTGGCTAGAGCGTAGAGTTTGCGGTGGAGCGGTGGTCAGTAGTGAAACTGGAGGGAGAGGCCAGGGCTGGCCCAGAAGACATCGTAGATTATCTCTTGTACAACAGCATTCACTCGGCACTTTTCACAAGAGTCAAAAGGTGGAAACAACCTAACCATCAATTGATGAGTGGAAGAACAGAATATGGTCTATTCCACAACACGGAAAAACTCACAAACATACTGAGCAAAACAAGTCCACTGCAAAAGGACCTCCACTGTACCATGCCACTGCCAACACCCAACCCTCTACCATCAAGCCGATTTGGACTCCTAGAGACTATATGACAGAGTAGCCCACTTGCTAGGGGTTCTGAGACTAAACTAAACTGGAGCAGAGAGCCTCACTTTCCCCCGACAGAGTGGCTGGCAGGTTCAAACTGCTGACCTTGTAGTTAGTAGGATGAGAATAACCTACTACGTCACCATGGCTCTGTGACCTCACTAATAGGAAATAAAAACATGCATACAAAGCATAGTTACTCATTGTTACCAAAGGTGGGCGGGTCGAGGCGAGAGGAAGCATTGGCTCGTGCATGTTTTATGTTAATGGTGGTGGGATAATGAGGAAGAGTGTAGTGACAGAGGCTGCCCAATATGAAGAATGGACTCGGGTCACCAAATGATACATGTAGAAATGGCTGAGTTGAGGAACCTTGTGTGTGTATATTTCCCCCTGGAAATTAAAGCGAGCAAGAAAGAAGATAAGTCCCGCGGAGCGGAGACTCTTCTCTCACATCCTGTGCCCGTGTTTACAGACCATTGACAAGTGCTCCGTGATCTGGGTGATCAGCGACATAGAGAGAGTTTCCGGAGGGGGAGCCCATGAAGACCTTCTGAAGGAGAGCATCAAGGCCGGCCAACGGGGATTCTGCAAGGACCTGGCCCTGGTGGTCACCAAGACTGACAAACTCCACTTGTCAGAATACCTAAGGTATCGCCTAGGGGTTTCCACGGATTTGGGTGTCAACTAGCCAAGACACAGGATACAGGGGGCATTGTGGGTGTGAGGGAGGTAACTGAGAGGACCTCGAAGTCTGGGGGAGTTCCGGGGACATCAGGGTGTCTGGGTGGATTATTTCAGGGATCTGAACTGCCAGTGACTTAAAAAAAATATGTACAGACCATCCGGAGATAACTAAGGTCCCTGGGTAGCAGTTTGCACGTGAGACTTGTGATGTAAAAGGTTGATGGTGTGAATCCACCCAGCAGGGCCAGAGGACACAGGCTGCTTCTAGAAAGCTGAAATGTGCATTGATGAATGGTTATCTATGGCCAATGGGGAACCCTGGTGGTATAGTGGTTATGAGTTGGGCTGTGATCCACATAGTCCACAGTTGGAAACCACCAGCAGGTCCGGGGGAGAAAGATGGGGCTTGCTACATAGTGACAGTCTTGGAAGCCCACGGGGGCTCACTATGAGTCAGCGTTGAGTTGATGGCAGTGTGTTCTTTTTCTTGGTGTCTCCTAGCGGTTACGCATCAGGCTGCGACCCACAAGATGAGCAGTTTGAAAGCACCAATTGCTCCACAGGAGACATACAGGGCTTTCCACTCCTACCAAAAGCTATAGTCTAAGCAATCCACAAGGCGGTTCTTCTCTGCCCCAGAGGGTTGCTACGCTGAACAGACGAGCAGCAGGCACAAATCCGACTGACTGGGTGCACAGTTTACGGCCACGGGATTTGACGTTTTCGAGCCCTCTCAGCTTTTTCCTTACCATCCACACCATTTCCTTCTACACCCACTGAGACAAGTTTGACTGCTCGCTCCAGGGACTTACTGAGCAGAGCCAGTCTCCTCTGTTAGGAGTAGGTAAAGGCTCTTCCCATCCCAGCTTCTTGCTCTCATGGGCTACGTCACAATGTCGGCTTCGCTTTTTTTCTTGACAGACGTTCTCGCCTCCTGCCCGAGTAGAATCTCCAGCTTGGCCTGTCCAGGCTGCAGATTGAGAGGAGCACAGGTTAGGTGAGAGGGACAAAGTGGCCCGTGCACCCTGGGAGAGAGGGCTGAGTTTTGACTGGGCCAGCGGTGGTGTCCCAGAAAATTTTTCAGCAGAGAAGACCTGTGCGTGTCACTGAGACATGAAGAAAATTATGGCCAATGGACACGGGTGGATTAGGAGCCAGAGCATTTGGGACAGAAAACAACCAGCCAGCCACTGCATAGGCACTGAGGCAGGCTCATTTGTGCTGCTCTGGGGGAAAGTCAAAAGATTGCCACGACATATACGTATGACAGAATTTTCCCTGGTGGATACGTGTGGGGCTGTGATTCGCAGGGTCAGCAGTTCGAAACCACCAGCTCCACAGGAGTAAGGCTTTGGGTTTCTACTCTCGTATACAATTAGAATCTTGGAAACCCACAAGGGTCCCTATGAGTCAGCATTGACTGGATGGCAGGGAGTTTGGAGTTTTAGACTACAAATTAAGTGATTGCTTACAGTTTCTCTGTTCCTTTCAGGGAAAGAAGAGTGGGAAATGTAAGTATGGACCCGTCATTTTAAGATAATACATTTTATTAGTAATATTTTAAATATATGCATATATATATGTAATATAGGTAATATGTAATATTACATATATGTAAATATATGCATATTTGACAATGGGGGCCAAATGAAGACTTCTGCAAGCCAGAGGTGCTCCATCCTTGGTTTCCAGTGGCAATCTGGGCTCACTGCCGCACTGTCTCCTCTCCCAATCTAGCCAGTGGTCCAAAGTCAACGTGAGGCCATTCTGGAAAGAAATGAAACAGTGAAGCGACAGTGGAGTCTACTTCTCAAGGAAAGACTGAAGGTGAGTTCCCAGATTTCCCAGTGCAACACTCTGCTTTTGAGGAACAACCGTAGACTTGGATTTGGACAGAAGAAAGGACGCCTGACTCCCTCCCACCACTTAGGACCTCTTGTGACTGTTGTTAAGTTCCACGCTTCCAGGTCTTCTCTGTAAAATTGGAGAAAGCGTCTAGTATTTAGTGCGCGTGTGTGTGCTGGGAAGACGTCAGGTAGCTCAGGGATCACCACCCAGTGTGAGGCGTGCTTTGAAGGAGGACTTCGTAGGGTGCCGTGCGAACACATGGGAAGGGTGCCCCAATCACACTGACTGGAGGTGGGTACAGGCAACGTGGGCAGGTGTCAGGGAAAACCGCCTCGCGAGCAGAATTTAAAAAACCAGTCCTTTTGGGTAAAGTGAAGAAGTAGGATAAAGGGCAGGGGAGAATGTGATTGTAACAGCCTTCCATGTTTAATGAACTGGATGCAAGTCATTTTGGGTGCCACAGAAAGGGGACTCGGAGGGGCCTGTTGAAGCAGATAAGGCCCGAGCTGAAATTTAAAGCCTAGATCATCATTTTGTATGATCTCTGCATAGCACACAGGGTGTGCATTTTACTACTAACTTGAAGGTTGGCGGTTCCAATCCTGGTGGAGCAGTCCTGTTTGGTAGCATATGGGGTTACCATGTCTAGGAGCAACTTGATGGCGGTGATTTTTCAAACCGTTCCGTATGACTGGTAATGTTTATTTAAATTATTAATTTTAATTATTCTGTCATTAAATTAGGTAAAACCTAGAAATCCAGTCTTACAGCACTGTAAAGAAGTCTGATACCAGTCTTGTAGCACTATAAAACAGAATCAACTTTTAAATAAGTTATGACGAAAGAATATAATGGATAGGTTGGAACCAACATGGGATAGGTATGATTTTACTGGTACAAATGAAAGTTTCAATTTGAGATTTAATAATAAAACCATCTGGCTTTGTGTCTGACACGATATTACATTGTTTTCTTGATGCTGAAAATATCTTTTTTGTGAAATGAAACTGAAGAACATGTGAAAGCTTTTTGTTTCTAGTTCAGATCATTAGACCTCATACCAGCCTCTACCAAACAATTCCTCAATGGCAGCTTTAATGAGGTGATAATTCAGCAAAGCTGTTCTTATCCTCGTACCTTGTTATTGCTGCCCTCATGAAATTATGCATTTTGTGAGTACTTAATTGTATTGTTTTTGGAACTGGAAGCAAAATAACCCAATGCATAATTCACAACTATATTTATTAATTGTAAATAAGACCGATTGGTTTGTGTGTGTTTGGGTCTGAGTAAATACATTAATGTGCAGAGGACTATGTACAGTACAAGTGTTTTGTTTTGTTTTTGTTTTTGTTTTGTTTTCAAAACCATGTTATTGGGAGTTAATGCAGCTATCATATCATGCCATAGTTCAATCACATCAAGCAGTGTTGTACAATTGCTGCTGCAATCAGTTTCAAAGCATTTTTTTCCTTCTTGAATTCCTGACATCAGCTCCCTTTTATCCACACCTCCCAGTGTAGCCCCCCTGAAACCTTTATTCTACTTGCTGCCCCTTTACGGTCATCAATCCTGGTCTTCATATAATAAAAAACAGAACCAAACATTTAATAAAAATTCAAGAGGGCTACCCCTCAGTGACATAACACATCTTAGATAAACCCCAATATGAACAAACAAAAACCCAAAACATAGAAAATGTTGAAAACCACATCAGGCCTAATGCGTGTCACAGCGCTAACCAAGTCAGGTTTATCACTTTGACCTTCTCCTGAGGTCTTCACACCTGCACCTCTAATGGCTAGGTGATACCTCCAGTCTCCAACCGCTTCCTGTTAGCCATCGAGAGCTTCAAACGATGCCTGCACTTGGGACATATTATTTATTGATCTTCCTCCCCATGGCTGTGATCTTTTGGAAGTAGAACCCTGGTCCTTTCTTCTAATGAGCCTTTCAATGGAACTCGATTGCCAACCCTTTGGTTAGTAGCCTCGCAAGTATACTAGGGACCCCTGGGGCAAATGGAAGTTGAGTCTTAGGAACACGAGGCAGAATTTAAGGGTCAGGTCTCACTGCAGGTCTTTTATAAGTCTTTCATCCTACCGGACAGGGTAGAACTGCCCCTGTGGGTGTCGGAGACTGTCACTCCTTACGGGAGTAGAAAGCCTCATTTTTTCCCCGAGGAGCGGCTGGTGGTTTCAAACTGACGACCTTGTGGTTAGCAACCCAACACATAACCAACCATTTCACCACAAGGGCTCCCGGATACTCTATGCTTATTTTTAAATCATTGAAATAAAAATTAAGAAAAATCTATTATAAAACAACAGACGACCAAGACTACATTTATTGATTTCCACTTGGCAAGTGTCATATGCATTTTATCAAGATCTTTCTCCGTAGTACCAAGAACGGAGAGTGGAGAGCTGGCTGAGTGATATGGAACATATTGGGCTAATGTAATAAGAACACGGAAACAACCGGTTCTGTGTTGCTGCAGTGGCTTGGGGATAATGCCACGCTCTTTCAACTGTTCTGCTTTCTCATCCTTAACCTACAAGCCCTGGTGGAGCAATGTGTTATGTGTTGGGCTAACTACAAGATCAGCGGTTCAAAGCCATCAGCTGCTCTTTGGGGAAAAGACAAGGTTTTCGACTCCCGTAAAGTCTCGGAAACCCACAGGGGCAGTTCTACCCTGTCCTGCAGGTCACTGTGAGTCAGCACGGGCTCGGTAGCAGTGAGCTGGGTGACTTTTGAGTCACCCTTACCATGTCGCTGCCTCTCTTCCTGCTTATCCTGGCACGGCCATGAGGTTGTGGCAGCGCAGGCTTCATGTCCACTTTCAGGCAGGCGGATGGAGGTGTGGGAAAGACAAAGGGCAGTGTGTCCATCAAGTCTGTCCCAGCCCCCACCCCCATCCTTTGGAAAAATAAAATAAAAGGAAGCTTTTCAGCTCTTTGGCCAAAACGGGGTTCCAGCTGTGTGTGTGGCATTAGGTCATCAGTCAAAAAGCCTCTGCCACTAATGTTGAGGTGACAAACTCAGGAGAAGGGATGGAGGCCAGGGCCCAGGGCACAAGGAGGGGCTCCGTAAGAATGAACAATGGGATGAGAGGAGGGGACGACAGATTAGGAAGCTGCACTGGCCAATGGTTTCAGAGCGGTCTTGTAAGATAAAGACTAACACATGCATGCTGCTTACCCCTGAGATGGTCGCCCAGGAACCATATGAGGACCACTGTGGGGTCCTGACAGACTCTGAAGTGGGGTTGCAGTGGGGTGAGCGTGGGTAAACTGAGGAGCCCAGAGTGCCTCTTTCAAAGAGATGGTGTGAAGGGAAGTGGGGACAGAAGGAGCGTCACATACACACATTGTGTACTGAATCTTCCTCCTAAATTAGAAGCAGCGGAGTCCTTAAATGGCGCATATGCTTAACGCCCTTGGCTGGTCAATGAAAGGTCAGAGGTTTGAGTGCATCCAGAGATGCCTCAAAAGAAATGCCAGGGGATCTACTTCTGAAAACTCAGCCGCTGCAAACTCTGCAGCGTGCAGCTCTGCTCTGACGGCCTGCATGGCCGGGAGTGGGGCTCAGCCCACAGCCACTGGCTTTAGTAGCTCCAGCCTCACTGGGCGCCAGATAGAAGCTGATGGAAAGATTGCCTTTTAGGGGGCTGCTCTGTTCTTGAAATCTCTCCTCCACACATTTTGAGGTTCCCTCAAAGTTATTTGTTTTGTTTTGTCCAGAGGTTTGTTTCAGTGAGGAAATTATTTCGTCAGGAAACAGCAAAGAGCATTAGCTTTTTGCGGAAAGGAAAGATGAAGACCTAACGCAGTTTATTTATTGCTGGCAGGCAGGAAGGCTACGCCCCCCACCTGCCTCAGCTGACCTTTGGGGTGTGTTTGTTTTGTACTCGACACGGAATTTCCATTCGCTTTGAAACTGATTTTGACAGAAATGTCAAGATAGCATTTACTAAAAGAGGGGCAGACTTAAGGGCCCTGAAATGAGGAATAAATACACTACCAAACATAATGAAAAACATTCACACTGTACATGACAAAATAGAAGACTAGGGTTTTTAAAAATACAACACGTAGGCACATCAAAAGATTTCATCAAATGATTTAAAAGAGAACCCATAGATTGGGGAAAAATATTTAGCAATGGCTTATCAGATAAAGGATTAATTTCTAAAAAATGGATATCTTAATTAGAAAACTACAAATAACTCATTCAAAATATAGGCACACAACATGAATAGACAATTTACTAAGATGACATCCAGGCAGCCAACACTCATGGGAAGTACAGCTCACATTCATTAGCAGTAAGAGAAATACAAATGAGCTATGAGCTATCACCTCATTCTGACATTCTTAGTAAAATTCAAAAGATCCAGAAAGTCATAATTGCTGGAGAGGACAGGGAGAGATTAAAATGCTCAGACATTGCTGGTGAGATTGCAGAATTATCTAACCACTGTGGAAATCAGTTTGGTGCTTCCTTAAACAGAGGCAAATACAAATACCTTATGATCTTGTAACCAGTGGTTCTCAACCTTCCTAATGCCACGACCCTTTAATACAGTTCCTCATGTTGTGGGGACCCCCAACCATAAAATTATCTTTGTTGCTACTTCATCACTGTAATTTCACTACTGTTATGAATTAGGCGACCCCTGTGAAAGGTTCGTTCGACTTCCAAAGGGGTTGCGACCCATAGGTTGAGAACTGCTGGTATAGACCCTAAAGAAATGAAGAACAAACATGAACAGACATATGCATACCTATGTTTATTGCAGCAGCTTCTGTGATAGCAGAATGATGGAAAACTA